TCACCAAATTTGACATACTAGCTTCTAGACTCAATTCGGTCGTAAGTGCCAAATTCCATCCAATTTGGGCAAATATTAGACGTTTGGTGCACAATAAAAGGTAAATCGGACGAAGTTATATATGGGAGCTAGTATCCAAATCTGAACCGATCTCGATAAAGTTTGGCAAAGATATTTTTGAGCTCTATTTGATATATTTCCCTGAATATCGTTGCTATGGAGTGCATATTACGGCTGTGGGTAACAAATACTTGAAATCGGATGAAAAATATATGTGGGAGCTATAGCTATATCTGAACCGATCTTCACCAAATTTGACATACTAGCTTCTGGACTCAATTCGGTTGTAAGTGCCAAATTTTTTCCCATTTGGGCAAATATTAGACGTTTGGTGCACAGTAAAATGTAAATCGGACGAAGTTATATATGGGAGTTATATACAAATCTGAACCGATCTCGATAAAATTTAGCAAAGGTATTTCTAAGCTGTATTTGATATATTTCCTCAAATATTGTTGTTACAGAGTGCATATTACAGCTGCGGAAGACAAAAATAACAAATCGGATGAACAATATATATGGGAGCTATAGCTATATCTGAACCGATTTCGATTAAATTTGGCATACTTATTTGCAGGCCTAATTTGGTTGTATGTGCAGAATTACATACTTATCGGGCTGGTATTACACGTTTGGTGTACAAAAAAAAGCAAATCGGACGAAGATATATATGGGAGCTATATCTAAATTTTGACCAATTATCTCCAATTTGAATATGGTTTGTCCTTTGGCCAAACAAATGAGTTGTGCAAAATTTCATCTCAATCGGATAATAAATGCGACCTGCATTTTGTTCACAAGAATACATGGACAGACGGACTGACAGGCATAAATCAACTCAGAAAGTGATTCTATGGAGATCCTCAAAGAAACTATGGATCTATCTCGCTTCCTTCTGCCTGTTACAAACAAATGCACAAAGACATAATACCCTTACCAATAAGTGGTGTAGGGTATAAATATTCCAGAATGTTGGAAATATTCTTGTTCGGATTTTAATGATTTCAAAATACTGATAAATACATGAATTCTGATTATCTTCCAAAAAAAAAAAAAAAAAAAAAAAAAAAAAACACAAAAAATACAAATGCTTGAAAAAATATTTTCAAAAAATTGATAAATAAATAAATGTTGACCTCCTCCTTTCAAAAAACTATAAAAATCACGAATGCTTATCGGTGGCAATTAAGCCTCGACAAAATATTAAAAAAAACTCATTCAAATGATCTTTGAAAAAATATTTTCAATATCATAGACAATTTTATTTTCTTCGTGCGTTTCTCCTGCCACAAATATTCTCAAAACCTAAGATTTATTGGGTTGCTGCATCTTGAAAAATATTTATTGGTTAGATGGTCCTTAAAAAAATGATACTTAAAAAAACATGACTTTTGGTCATTGGGTCTTTTGTTTATTTTTATTTTTTTTTATTTTGGTCCTTGAAGAAATGCTCTTTCGAAAAACCCACGATTTTTGTCAGCAGATCCTAGAGAACGTTTTTAAACCCTACTTTTTGGATTTTTTAATATAAATTCACGTTTATTGATATTTTTGTCCTTTAAAAAAATATTCTTAAAAACAAACCTCGTTTATTCACAGGTCGGCCCTTGAAAAATTATTTTTAAAAACATTTGTCATTGAATTTTTTTGGTCCTTCAAGAAACATTCTTAAAAAGAAAATCTAGCAGTATTTTGAAGGAATATTCTTAAAAATTCAGGAAAATTGGTCCTATTTAAAAAAAACACGTTTCTTGGACTATCAGCCATTTAAAAAATCATATTTACAGGGTGAAATGAAAAAAAAAACTGCAACCAACTTCAGACTACCGTCATTTCTAAGCCACTCGTCCGACAGCTATTAAAATTATTCCAGTGACAGCTCATTATATTGTTTATAAGCGTACAAAAGCATTTTGGTGAGAATTTTTCACAAAAAAAGTTATTCGTGATGAAATTCAAGCGTGATAGTGTGATTTCTTTATATTTGGCTGGAGCACCATAAGTGGCTATCGTTAGAGCACTCCAGCATTTTAATGTGAATATATCTATTGTGTCTCGTATCATCGCTCGTTATCCCGACGTCAAGGAAGTGGACTGAAGAAAACAGCAACAGAAATGGTTGGAAAAGAAAAGATGCGACTTGATCGAAACCCGCATCGCAGTGGCCAAAAAATGCCTCGTGAGCAGAACATATAGCAATATTCCATTCGGCGAATATTGAAAAATGAGCTCGGGGTAAAGCCATGGAAATTCAAAAAAGTGTAAGAACTTACACTGCAACAGAAAGAAAATAGACTTAAAAGAGCTAAAGATTTGCTTCGCTTGTCCGAAAATGGAGAAGTATCGAAATTGGTTTTCTCCGATGAGAAAACATTCGTTGTCCAGCAGTTTGTAAACAACAACAAAACAAAATGATCGTGTTTACTTGCCAAAGAGGTCAGCTGAAAATGTGCACCTTCGGTTGGCCACCAAAACTCAAGCGCCGGCCATGGTGATGATGGTGTGGCCCGCCATGACAGCCGATGGTCGCTCTCCCCTCGTATTAATCGACTGTGGCATCAGAATAAATATCGAATATTATCGCGAAAATATTCTGGAGGGTATATTAAAGCCTTGGACACGCAAACATTTTGGCCGCAGACCTTGGACACTCCTACAGGACTCAGCACTATGGTTACAAAATTAAGTTCGTTGCTTCATTTCCAGCGCACAATGGCCACAAAAATCTCCGGATACCAATCCGTTGTACTATTGTGTCTGGAGTATTTTGGAAAGTAAGGTTGGCACTAAAAAATACAAAAGTATCGATCACCTCAAACAAGCGCTTCGCCGGGAAACTGTCAAAATACCGTAAAGCAACATTCGGGCAGCATGTGACGGTTTCATTGACCGTTTTTAGGCCATAATTCGTGCCAAAGGTGACCAATTCGAACTAATCTAAACTTATTATAGAATTTGATGATATTTCCGACATTCTTTGCATTCATTCAATGAAATTTAAAAAAATGTAAAAATTATGGCCTGTGCTTTTGTTGCAGTTTTTTTATCTCAGATCTTAGATAATGTGAAACAAGTAAAAAAGCAGCTAAGTTCGGCCGGACCGAACTTTTAATACCCTCCACTATTTGGAATTAACTTAAAAAAAATTAAAAACAAACGAAAACTACCATTTAAACTGTTATATGGGGACTATACGAACACGTGGACCTGCTTACGATTTTGTTTTTTCATATGTTGTAATAGAAGGAAGTTGAAATTTTTCAAAAAAAAAAAAAAATCGAAAAATACCTCTTAAATGAAAACAGTTATATTCGGACTATACGAAAACGTCGACCTGCTTACGATTTTTTCATTAACCATTAAGAAATACGAAATTTGAAATGATTCCGGTGATTAATGCTGCTGAAATCATCAAAATACCGAATATCGGGAGGTACCGTTTTAGGGGGGCTATACGAAAACTAATATACCCTGCATAGAATGGTGGAGGGTATAAAAAAATCTGCAAATATGTTCATTTTTATCATTGAAAAATTTAATCCTTGAAAAATTATATGTCCTCATTTTGTCATTAAGGAATATTCTTTTAAAAATCGTCCTAATTATAGCTCAAAAAACTCTGCACAAAGTGCTATTGGCAAATAGCTCTGAAGAAAAAAAAATATTTAGAAAATTTTGGTTAGAATGTTATTCTTTAAAAAACTCATTTTTTGTATCTTAAAGTCCTTCCAAAAAAATTCACTAGTTCTGAACCAATAAAATAGCGAGGATCCATTAAGACTGCTACTTTAAAAAATGCTATTTTAAAAAAGCCTACGACTGTTGACGACGAAGAATCCCCAGGGTCTGAATATAGGCCAGAGATATCTTAAAAATATAATTATATAACCTACGAATTTGGTTTTCAACGAAAACCTTTTTAAAAAAATTCTACAGGATTATAGCTGGGTGAAGGTTTCTGAAAAATATTTATTTTGAAAAATACTTGACTACTTTTCCGGTAGTCCGGTATGGCTTAACAATTTCCAATTTCATATTTTTTTCCAAACTGACCTGATTTTGGACATGGGAGTACTTCCCGTTTTTCTTTAAAAAATCATGGCTTTAGCATTTCAATAAACCCGGATTATAATTAAGAGAGACATTAAGAATTGATCCTATAAAGTCTACAATTAAAACTCTAAGAGTATTGAAAAAAAAAAAAAAAACATTTCTTTAAAAATCTAAATGTCCATTAAATTTTCAGAAAACCCCCAAATATCAGCAGCCCCATCTTCCATTTCCCCATCAAATAACCAGTTATTCTCACAATTCCAATTTATTGGCTTGAATTCAATTCATTCGCTCAACTGGTCATAACTCTTTCATGGGATTTTTAATTGTTTTTCGTTTTTTTTTTTTTCGCAGTGGATAATTTCTCTTTCTCTCTCTCTCTCTCTCTCTCTGGGGTCGTTAAAATAGTTCACACTTCTTAGTCAACGTTTTGTTTTAAATTGCCAGCTATCTTCATGGGAGCAAACACGCTTACAATTTATCTCCCTCCCATCCTCCCCTACGTCAACCCCTTCCCCCTCATGTCAAACAATTTGGCATTATGTCAAACCCTGAAAGAACGAAACTCAATATCCACTCAACTAAAGTCCTTTAAATCAATTGCTTGGCCCATTGTCATTGCCCGACATATCGCCTGGCAGTCGGATCCTGTTGGCATTCATCAACCGGGGGTTTTGGGTTGGCTTTGTAGCAGAAGGAGCAGCAGCATTTAAATGAATTGAAATCGAAACTAACCCAAAAGCAAGTCATTGAACTTTTGCCAATTGTTTTGTCGTTTTGCTGTTGTTTGTATTAATTTGTTACCCGTTGTTTCCGCTTCCGTTTGCCCAACTCCTAGTGTATATGTGTGAGTATTTACATTCATGTGTCACTTTGTTTCATTTCAGGTCATTTGGGTTTGCATATTGTGCCGTAAAAAACAGGAGCTCCTATCCAAGACTGGTCAGTGGATCAATAAGGCCACCATACAACAGGATGGCTTTATACGTCGCAATGAACCGGATGGCAGCAGTGTAAGTACAACAATTTTATTGGTGACTTCCTTCAGAAGGGGGAAAATAACAAAAACAACAACAATGCCTAATTCAGGACACGACCATTAATTTATGCAAAATCCTTGTGTCTTTGTTTCTTCCTTCCTTCCATTTCGATTGTTTTAGGACATTTCCCAACAGGCTGTGGTCGATCCTCACGATGCGCTCGACAAACGACCAAAACTGGAGCGTACCCGTAGTGCTGCCGAAAAGGAAAATCTACCGCTACAACGTTCGGGTAGCATGCTGAAACGACAATATTCACAACAAGAACAAACAACGAATCAAAGGGATATGATGGGTCCCAATATGGGTATGGACATCATGAGTCCCGGTCAAAGGCAACGTATGCAACCAATGACGCCACAGCATATGCAACAACAGCATCAGCAGCAGCAACAACAGATGTCACAACAGGGTCAATATAATAGGGGCCAGCAAGGACATTATGGAGGAGGTAGTGGTGGAAGCGGGCCAGGAATGCACCATCAAAAGGACGAGGATCCAAGATTATATCAAGTAAGTCCTTCAATATATCAATATTTTTTTAAGAATCCACGTTTATTTTGGTTTTTATTTTTTTTAAATCCAGATTTATCAGTTTCTTTGATTTTTTTTTAAACCCACGTTAATTTAGGTCCTTGAAAAAAAATTTTTTTTTTTAAATCCACTTTTATTTTTATCCTCGAAAAAATATATTTTTTTTTAAAAATCCACGTTTATTTTTATCCTTGAAAAAATATTAAAAAAAAACACGTTAATTTAGGTCCTTAAAAATTTTTTTTTTTTAAAAATCCACTTTTATTTTTATCCTTGAAAAAATATTTTTTTTTTAAATCCACGTCTATTTTTATCCTTGAAAAAATATTTTTTTAAAAATCCACGTTTATTTTTATCCTTGAAAAATATTTTTTTAAAAATCCACGTTTATTTTTATCCTTGAATTTTTTTTTTTAAAAAACCACGTTTATTTTTATCATTGAAAAAAATTTTTTTAAAAATCCACGTTTATTTTTAACCTAGAAAAAAAAAATTTTAAAAATCCACGTTTATTTTTATCCTTGAAAAAATATTTTTTTATAATTCCACGTTTATTTTTATTCTTGAAAAAATATTTTTTTAAATTCCACGATTATTTTTATCCTTGAAAAAAAAAATTTTAAAAATCCACGTTTATTTTTATCCTTGAAAAAATTTTTTTTTAAAATCCACGTTTATTTTTATCCTTGAAAAAAATTTTTTTTAAAATCCACGTTTATTTTTATCCTTGAAAAAATATTTTTTTAAATTCCACGTTTATTTTTATTCTTGAAAAAATATTTTTTTAAAATTCCACGATTATTTTTATCCTTGAAAAAAAAAATTTTTAAAAAACCAGGTTTATTTTTATCCTTGAAAAAAAAAAATTTTAAAAATCCACGTTTATTTTTATCCTTGAAAAAATATTTTTTTTTAAAAAACCACGTTTATTTTTATCCCTGAAAAAATATTTTTTTAAATTCCACGTTTATTTTTGTCCTTGAAAATTTTTTTTTTAAATTCCACGTTTATTTTTATCCTTGAAAAAATTTTTTTTTAAAAAACCATGTTTATTTTTATCCTTGAAAAAAAAAATATTTTTTAAAAATCCACGTTTATTTTTATCCTTGAAAAAATATTTGTTTTTTAAAATCAACGTTTATTTTTATCCTTGAAAAAAAAAATATTTTTTAAAAATCAATGTTTATTTTTATCCTTGAAAAAAATATTTTTTAAAAATCCACGTTTACTTTTATCCTTGAAAAAAATGTTTGTTAAAAATCCACGTTTATTTTTATCCTTGAAAAAAATGTTTGTTAAAAATCCACGTTTATTTTTATCCTTGAAAAAAATACTTTTAAAAATCCACGTTATATTGGTCCTTACAAAAATATTTTTTAAAAACCCACGTTTATTTTTATATTTGAAAAAAAATATTTGTTAAAAATTCACGTTTATTTTTATCCTTGAAAAAAATATTTTTTAAAAATCCAAGTTTATTTTTATCCTTGAAAAATATTTTTAAAAATCCACGTTATGTCGGTCCTTGAGAAAAAATATTTTTTTAAAAAATCCACGTTTATTTTGATCTATAAAGAATATTTTTTTTGGTCCGTAAAAAAAATATTTTTAAAAATCCACGTTATGTTGGTCCGTAAAAAAAATATTTTTTTAAAAAATCCACGTTTATTTTGATCTATAAAAAATATTTTTTAGAAAATCCTCGTTCGATCCTTGAAAAAAAAATATTTTTTTTAAAAAATCCACGTTTATTTTGATCTATAAAAAATATTTTTTAGAAAATCCACGTTCGATCCTTGAAAAAAAATATTTTTTTAAAAAATCCACGTTTATTTGGAACCATAAAAATTATTTTTTAGAAAATCCACGTTTGTTCTTTGAAAAAAAACAAAATTGTTTAGAAAATCCACGTTTGTTCTTTGAAAAAAAAACAATATTTTTTAGAAAATCCACTTTTGGTCCTTGAAAAAAAATATTTTTTAGAAAATCCACGTTTGGTCCTTGATAAAAAATATTTTTTTAAACCATAAAAAATATTTTTAAAAAAATTCACGTTTGGTCCTTGAAAAAAAAATATTTTTTAGAAAATCCACGTTTGTTCATTAAAAAAAAATATATTTTTTTAAATCCACCTTTATTTGTACCATGAAAAAATATTTTTTTGGAAATCCACGTTCATTTTAGTCCTTTAGTGTTTGCTCCTTTTATATTATTTTTTAATTATATTTTTAATTTAATATTAATTAATTAATTTTTTATGTTTTTAGGGTGAAATTGATGGTCTCATGAAACAACATCCGCATTTGGCTCACCCCAGTCAGCGACAGCAACAACAGTACCAATATCAACAGCAGCAGCAACAACAACAACATCAGCAGCAACAACAACAATATCGCATGCAACAGCAATCACAACAACAGCAGCAGCAACAACATCAAATGCGTGGACAACAGCAACAAGGCCCAACAAATACTTCCTCCGTTACCTATGCAACACTACAACATCCACAACAGCAACAACAAAGGCTTCCAACATCATCTGCAGCACAACAACATCACCAGCAGCATCAACAACAACATCATCCAACCCATCCACATCATTACAGTGGTGTTGGATCCTCCTCACAACTCTCAGCTGCTGGCCATCATCAAACACCGGCATCGTCCGCTGCCATTTCCTCTAACGCCGCCCTTGTCTCCGTCTCGACCTCTGCAACATCCTCTCAGGGTTATCAAAAGCCTCCGCCAATACAACGTAATCTAACCATAAGCGGTGGACATGCCATGGATCCATCGACCTATAATGCTCGCCGTCATCTAAACGTTAGTCAGTATGCCGCTCAACAGCAGCGAAGTTTTAGTAGCTACGAAGATGAAATACAGCAGCAACACTCGCAATATCCAGCGACATCGGGGTTGTCATCATACGACTTAGAGGGTAAGTTCGATCGTTGTACCATTCGAATTGGATTGAATTGTGTATTTGTTTACCCAACCCCCACGTACCCTTATCGTGATCACCACAAAACAAACAAAATGTACACCTGTATCCTTTTTCTTTTTGGTTTTGTGTTGAAATTTTGTTTTTCTTAAGTTATTGCTCTCAAAAGTGTGTATGCATATTTTCTCTTTCAAATATGATGACCTACCTCTCTTTCTGTCTCTCTCTATAAATATATGGCTAACTAACTGTATTAACAACAAACGATCCTTGATAACAAACACCCCATTACTTTTTGTTGTTTTAATTTGTTATAAGAGAGAACTTCTCTCAGATTTTTAATTTGAAGTTGATTTGAGAGATAATTTCTCTCAGATTTATAATTTGAATTTTATTTTGATCTCCTCTCCATACTCCAAACACAAACACAAACAAATTTTAAATGTAATGAAAATCCATACAGTGTTGGTACGACAACACTGTAAATCATACCTAAATATTTTCTAAAGGAGTTTTTTAAAATTTTTAAATATTAAATATGTTTTTTGTTGTTGTGTAAACTATTTATGAATTAACGTAACATAATAACATATTTGTTGGGAATTTTATAAATATTGAAATTATTAATGTCTTAACTGATTTAAGTTAAATTTAAGATTTTGTAGGATTTTAATTTTTTCCCCTCTTTCCTTTGCAATATAATTTTTATTTATTTCCTCTCGAATAGAATAAGAGATAATATTTATATAAATCCATATTAACGAACTATTAGTATTTTATCAAAATATTATTAAATATAAGTATAAGTAAGTAATTAATTTATTTTAAAATTTAATTTTTTAATTATTATTTATAGTAAGTATATGTGCTTTAAAAATAACGAAAAGGCATTTGCGTTTTAAAATGATATCAGGAAGATATGATGTCAGAAAGATATATAAAAAAATATATAAAATCGATATCTTTCTTCGATGAATAGAAATGAAATCTACAAAAGAGTTTGCGAGGATTTTTATTAAGTTTGTTTATATGATAAATTCTCATAACGATTGATTTGTGAAAGCTCCCACAAAAATATTTTTTATATTGTTTCTTTTTTTTTTTTTTGAGAATTTTTGACAAGATTTCTTACTTTTTTGGATTTTTTCAAAATGATAAAAAAAAGAAAACAGGTTTTCTTTTTAGGTTTTGTTGAAAGCTGTGTACTGATATGGACAATATTGTATTGATATGGATACTTATTGGACCCAAACGAACTACATGTGTGGTTATTCATCCGTTAAAGTATATAATTTCATAAAATCTTAGGGATTTTTTTTATTTCTTTAAATTCACAATAATTCAATCCCCTTAAAAAAATAATATTTCAAAAATCTACTATAAGTCAGTCCTTGAGAAATATTATTTCAAAAACATTCGAAATTAAAAAAAAAAACGTTAAGTTCGGCCGGGGCGAACTTTTAATACCCTCCATCTTAGGGTAAAGGAAATATTTTTATACAAAAGTAGGACCGTTTGCATAATGCAGAAAAAAATTGATCAAAAAAACAATAAAGTGAGTGAGGCCGTCATATGGGGCCACACCAAAACGGGAATCTCTATAGGCAATTTTATACTTTAAGGATTGTCATCTATCAAATCTTCTAAAATACTAAATCTGCAAAAATTATGTGGGTAAATGTGACTAGGATTATCAAAATATCCAATACCGGTGGGTATAGTTATATGTGCGCTTTAGGAAAACGTGAAACCTAATATTCAATGTTCTGCCACCGGAATAGAACTCATTATTAACTGCAAATAGCAATTTTTTTATTAAAATATCGAATATCGGGAGGTTAAATGGGGGCTATACCAAAACGTGGTCCTATGCATACAATATTTCGTCACACGAGCTAGAACCCATTATGACCTACAAATACCAATTTTTAGATAAATTCGTGGGAAAATATGGCATAAATCTTCAAAATACCGAATATCGAGAAGGAACGGTTATATGGGGCTATACAACAACATGGACCTAACATGCAATATTCCGCCTGTGAAACTAGACCCCATTATGACCTACATATGTTTACCAATTTTTAGACAAATCCGTGGCAAAAATCTGGCGAAAATCATCAAAATATCGAATATCAGAAGGTACCGTTATATGGCGGCTATACCAAAAACATGGATCGATATATCTCACTTTCAATACCAACCATCCTAGAAACAATACAAATTGTTCTGCCAAATTTTGAAGGTCTATGTCAAATACTGTGGGCTGTATCGTGATTTCAACGAACTGACAAACGGACAGACAGACGGACATCGTTAAATTGACTTAGAATTTTATGCTGATTAGGAATAGTTTATGGGGTCTACGATGAAAATTTAGGGATGTTAACCTTTCCAAGGTGGAGGGTATAAAAACAATTAAAATAATATCAGTCGGTTTTGCCGAAAGATTTTATACCCCAGCCTTGAGTTATGATTATTCAAACTGTTGACCCTTTTTTGGGGGAGATTCTAAGCAGTTGGCCAATATTGATCAATTCGTATCTGACCTAAGACAGATAAAAATGTTACAACGTGTTAGATTTGGACTATATCGACTACTTCCTATACTTTATACGAGATAAGTGCAAAATTTTTGGCAAATGTGGAAATATGCGTGAGGTAAAAAATACAGATAAAAATATTGGTATATGCAAAATTTTAAGGAAATCTCACATTTATATCCAACTTTATGCGAAATCATAAATGACATACTCAGAATTCTTGTTAAGGGAAATGTTAGATCTAGCAAGTTGTAAATAACCGCTGACATGTTTCACAAGTTATGACATATAAAAGTATTGACAATTGTGACCCTTTGTGGGTGAAGTACGAGAAAGGTGTGAAATTTGAAGGATGATTATCTCACGTTTTATAGGCATTTTGTTTTTCAAAATTTTGAACCCTTTGTGGGGGAGGTACCACAAGGTAGTGGACTGATATGTCCCATTTTCAAATCAGATCTTGTGCCAGTAAAAATAATGGAATGTGTGAAATATGAAGAGAACCGGATGCTTATATCCGATTTTATGATCGTTTTGAATGTTCAAAATTTTGACCCAGAATGAGTGGTCCGATCTCCGCCATCTTTATAAGAGATCTTGTATTGAGTGTAACGATTTTTTTTCATTTGACCTAGCACTTTGCAAAGATGGAGCAAACTCGGATTGTCCTTTCTCTTTCTGTGCAGTAAAGTATTTTTTTTAAATGTTGTCCTTTTACCACAAGGCGTGAACCGATATATTCCATCTTCACACCAGACCTTGGGTTAATAAAAATATTGTGATGTGTGCATTTTGAAGACAATTGGTCTCTTACATCACATTTTATAAGAGTTATAATTATTCAAAATTTTGACTTTTGTAGGGGAGGTACTTGATGGAGTGGACCGATATTGTCCATTTTTGCACCAAACTTAGCACTGATGCAAATATTAGGCTTTGCAAAGTTTGAACAAAATCGGATTATCCTTTCATGACATTTTGTGGGGTACCAGAAGGATTGGGCCGATATTACCCATCTCCGAACTCGATCTAAGGTTGACAATAATATTACAATGTACCAAGTATGGATCAAATCGGATACTCCCTTCGAAAGTTATCGAGCGTTCCGACATCGCTAGATCGACTCCAAATGTTCTGAAACGAATTTGGTCCAAAGAGACCTAGAGTCTTAAATCGTTATTTCGATGAGACACGTTTTAGCGGTATCAAATGGTACATACCCTTTCTAACCATATGGCTGAGGGTATAAAAAGCACCTCCAGTATTTTGAAGGAATTTGGAAATTTAAAAAAAGAGAAGATCCGCTAAGTAATACTGCTAAGGATATAAAATACCGAATATAGTGAGTTACCGTTTGGGGCCTACAAGAAGACGTGGACCTCTATATATGCAATATTTGCCACAGACCGTTACAATATTCAAATGCGAAATTTGGAAGAACTCCTGTAAATAATGTCCCTAAAATCAACAAAATATCGAATACAGGGAGGTACAGTAATATGGGGGCTATACGAAGACGTGGACTTGCGTGGGCAATTTTCTCTCACAGAGGCTTGTATCAATTAGGAACTTCAAATGCGAAATTTGAAGGAATTCCGATGAAAATGTCGCTAAAATCAAAAATTCCGAATACCAGGGGGCTATACGAAGACTTAGACCTGCATACAAAAATGTTTGTCATAGGCTGTAGTACTATTACGTACTTCAAATATGAAATTTGAAATAATTCCTGTAAATAATGTCGCTTAAATCATGTAAATACCGAATATCGTGAGTTAGCGCTATATGGGGGCTATGCCATAAGGTGGACCCATACGATCCATTTTCACAACCCAAAGTCCTGCAGATATTATATACATCTTACCAAAATTTGTGAAGAAAAGGTGATTTCCACAGAGGGATGGTCATCCTGCAGATCATATCTAATTTTGGGGGTCTAAAATGTATATTTCGAGGTGTTAAGAACAAACTTAATAATAATAGTTTGCTGGAGAGTATAAAAATAGTTTCAATTTTCAAAATAATTTTTGGAAAAAATTTTATCTTGACATCTATAGTTTTGAGAATTTTCAAATGGTATTTATTATACCCTACACCACAAGGTGGTCACGGTATTATGTCTTTGTGCATTTGTTTGTAACATGGAGAAGGCAGCGATATAGACCCATAGTTACTTTTGAGGATCTCCATAGAATCACTTTCTGAGTTGATTTATGCATGTCAGTCCGTCTGTCTGTCCGTCCGTCCGTCTGTCCATGTATTTTTGTGAACAAAATGCAGGTGGCATTTATTATCCGATTGAGATGAAATTTTCCAAACAACATTTGTTTGGCCCCACCCTATTGAAATTGGAGATAATCGGTAAAAATTTAGATATAGCTCCCATATATATCTTCGTCCGATTTACCTTTTATTGTGCACCAAAAGTCTAATATTTGCCCAAATGGGATGGAATTTGGCACACACGACCGAATTGAGTCTAGAAGGTAGTATGCTAAATTTGGTGAAGATCGGTTCAGATATAGCTATGGCTCCCATATATATTGTTCATCTGATTTGTTGTATTTGTTACCCACAACCGTAATATGCACTCCGTAACAA